GCGGGATATTACTTGACAAGAGGGGTTGCTCTGATGATAAGCAACCTCCACTTCCAACCAAGAGGTTGTGAGTTCGAGTCACCCCAAAAGCAAGGTGGGGAGTTCTTGGAGGGAAGGATGCTGAGGGTCTATTGGAAACAGCCTCTTTACCTCATGGTAGGGGTAAGGTCTGCGTACACACTATCCTCCCCAGACTCCACTCGTGGGATTATACTGGGTGGTTGTTGTTGTTGTTGTAATTAATTGATTATAGGATAAGATTAAAATTTCCCCACCCCCACGTGGCAGCAAGGCCTTGTCCATATCCATGACTCTTACAATGGAATGGAAAGGTGGCAACCTAAATGATAATGGCAAGACACTACTTCATTTCTAGGAATTGGGATACAAAACAACATTTCATTCCAAAAAGACTTAAAACCCATTTTCAATTCGTTTTGGTGTCTCTGAAATTAATGAAAAGGTTCAGCAAGAAGGTTTCCTCCAAGATGATACTTGATAGTAACGTAAGTTACTTAAGTTCATACGAAACTTCTTAGAAAAATTAGCAACGAGATTTTGCGATTCTATAGGAGTACGGTGCAATCTTTCTCAAGAACATCATACGGATTTTTCCTACTCCGGTCTTGCCGTCACGTGTTTTGTCGCGATTGTCGTGTGTTATAGGGATTGTCCGGAGAACCGACTCAGGTATGTTAAGGCTAAGCTCTTCCTTCATTTTGCATGATCTCGTAATTACACAAGTTTGATAACGAGGTATAAAGAAAAAATTCATGTTCCGGAATTTACGTATATTTTCCTAATCTTGTAAGTTACAATATTCTCCTTATCGGGACTTCATATTCAATTGAGTATTTCATTTTTCCAGTCAAGAGAGCAGAAAGTCTATATATACAGTATTATAGTATTTTCATTACCATCGAGCTATAATCGATGGGCAGGCCCCCTATTGGGCGACCTCTGATCAGATGGTAAGTTATATACCGAGCCTACTGTGGCCGAGCGCCTATGAGCGAGCCCAGTTGGCCGAGATACAAAGCCTAGTATGGCCGAGCACCTATGAACGAGCCTACTACGGCAGAGCAGTTATACATACCGAGCCTTATAAGGCCGGGCAACTATTTCACTTACTATATTGAGAGAGTTGAGTCAGTATCAGCAGGTGAGCATATCTTCAGATTTTCTTTGACTCCCAATTGCTTTCAGCTATTATATTATAGTTCAGTTTCAGCTTTCAGTATATTGCCTTACATACTCGGTACATTATTTCGTACTGACGTCCCTTTCTGGGGGCGCTGCATTTCATGCGTGCAGGTTCAGACAGACAGACGGGTAGACCTCCTCAGTAGGTGTTGCCCGAGTTCAGCTTTATCGGTAAGCTCCCCGTCCTTCGGAGTTGCCAGGTCTAGAAATTTTGTGTACATCTTGTGTATGTATGTAGATAGGTTATGGGTAGGTCGGGGCCTTGTTCCGATCACAGTACATCCATCAGTAGAAGCTTGTAGACATATCCTGTCAGTTAGTGCAATATGTTGGGCTTGTAGGCCTTGTACGTATATTTTGTTGGCTTGTCAGCTATAGTGGTTATGACGGCCTTGCCAGCCCAGCTTTATGTTGAGATTTAGTCAGCGTTAGTCTCTATTCAGTTTTATATTTTGCTTCGCAAATTTTCTTGCAATGTGGCCCCTGGCCAAAGTATGACATTATATGTCCAGAATTCCTGAGTCGCAAGTTGGTACGCAAGGATAGATGAGGCACTTGTACCGGTCTCGCCCCCAGGCTCGGGGCCTCGCTGGCTATGCTTACATGTTCAAAATACGCATCTAATTGCTACAAGAAGTTTTCCACGTCTTGAGCGCTCCTTTCACCTCGAAATTCTTTGGGTTGAGGAGCCTCAATACGAGTCTCTCGGACAGTGACGGGACCCCGCCCGCTGGCTCCTGCGGTCTCCTCTAGACGCAGTTTTAAAGCCTCAACTTCTGCCTGCAAGGCAGACAAAGCCTCAGTGAGCTTGAGCGCAAGGTGGGTCATCCCTTTTCTTGTGCTCTTCATCTTGCTCCAGAATGTTCCCTTTGACTTCACCAAGTCCTTCGAGGGCAACTGACTCAAGGGAACATAAATTATTTTCGGCGGCGGCAATACGACGGTGCATGGCCGACAGACCAGTTTCTACTATAACGATCCTCTCATCGAGAGTGCTGGTTTCGAAAGTTTCGGGTTCCACGCAGGGTAACATCTCGCTAAAAAGCGGTTGAGATGTGTCTCTGGCCTTACTTTTGTCGCGCTTCCTGGCCATACTTCTCTGTACTTCTGGGTTCTCTTCAACGTGGGTTTCTTCTTCGTTGCAATGTGAGTTTTTAGCCATGCAAGAATCTAAGCTCTGATACCACTTGTCACGGGCCTATTTTCAAAGGCAGCGTGGGACAACCCTATGAGCAAAATCGCTCCTTAAAGTCTTCAGTCCTAAACACAAGAAACAGCACAACCGTGCTGAAGCGATGGCAAGCACACGAAAGGAGCAAGAAAGCAATGAAAGAAAGAGACCAAGATGTGGGAGGCAAATGCTTTTTTCTGTTGTATTTATTAATTATGAGTTGCTTACAAAGAATGAGCCCAAGGGGTTATTTATAGAAATCTAAAGGGTTGTACAAGGGGAGTGGTTGGCAAGGCTGGCAAGGTTAGCAAGGCTGGCAAGCTGCCTGGTGCATTCCAGCCTGGCGAAGTTGGCAAGGCTGCCTAGAGAGGTCTTACTGTCATCTATTGCCCAGAATGTCAAAGATGCTCTTTCACTTTCGGCCGGTGGTCCCTTGGTCGGCTGACTTTCGGCCAAAGGTGCCTTTTGAGAGCATCCAATGACTTTTGTGAGGGCCCAAGTGTTTTCCCATTGATAGTTGTCCAAGACTTGAGCTCGTGTAAGCCTCGCCGTCGCTGGAATTGCGGAAAATTAATAGGTGTGGCGACGGGGCGGTATTTCCCATATCAGTATTATTATTATCATTCTCGTATTTTCTTAATCTTCGATTTCTATTACTACTTGTTGTTCCCCTTGCTTCGGTTTTCTTACTGCTTTGTTATTTTGATATTGTTACAATTTTTGTCTTCAGTATTTTCAGAATGGCTTTTTCATCACTGTTTTTCTTGTTCAAACCTTATTAGAAATGATTTTCTTGAGTCGAGGATCTATCGGATACAGCATCTCTACCGTCACAAGGCAAGAGTAAGGTATGCGTACACACTACCTCCCCCACACACACTTACACGGGGTATGTTGTTGTTATTGTTCAGTGATAGTCAAAGTGCAACTCATCTTGAATCTAGTGTTTCATGCTTACTGCATCGTTTTTTGGGTGAAAGCTTATAGGCAATTGAATGGAGTGACCACAAACAGCCTCAACAATTGGTTCAAGAAGCCACCTTTTTCGGTAACAGTTGCAAAAGCTAGTTCAAGCTAATATTGTTGGGGTGTAAAACAGACTTGTAATAAGTCCTAGAACATGCGCCTACCACTTCCAACGATCTAAAATTTTGACAACTGAGAAATCCCTGACCGCTAATGGCACACGGTTCGAAACTCCATGGATAATGGCCCGCCCCTCTATCCTTCTCCGCTTAAATACCAGGATTTTGTCGCAAGGTTCAAGCTTGTGTCATGCGCCTAACCCACGCATCACAAGCCGCATACCACTAAACCAAAGCCCTGTGCCCAAAGATCTAATTTTCTCTGCTCCAACTTCGTATTTTTAAGTTATAAGCTAAAATTAGTTAGTAGTATCCTAAAGATAACACTGAAACTAAAACCCCGAGTTCACAAAAGACCGGAAGGATTATTAAATCAGTGTGTATCTGGTTGGTAAACTGCAGGTTTTCAGCATCAGTTCCATACCTATCCAGCACCACAAAGATAGAATTCACACCCTCCCAACTCTAATGAACAAAACACAACGTTACAGCGATACCTAAGGTGGCTCCTTTCGTTTCTTCTTTTTTACCTTTTTGCACGTAAAACTTCCAGGAACCCATTTTTTAAGATGTTTTTTGGGAAAAATGGAGAAACAAGGGAGATTTTATAACAGAAAGCAGTAAGCACAAAATAACAAGAAGAGGCAATTTCGTAAGTATTCTTTGCTTCCTAACCAATCTGCTAACTGTTGAACTCAAGTCCTCCATGATGTTTAAGCCTTTGCTCGTTGATCATCCAAACCAAGATGAAATCCTCTCTTCTCTAAGATTCTACGCCACCATTTGGAAAGATCGAACTTTATCGAGCAGGTCTTTTAAGTTAACTGAATAGAGGTAACATGAAAATCCACATGTCGGTTAAATCTTAGATCCTCGAGAGTTTTGAGCACCGGAGGGGATTTGAGATTACATCTTAGATCCTCGAGAGTTTTGAGCACCGGAGGGGATCTGAGATTACAGAACTCAATATTTACGGATTTACAGTTCCTATATTGTTTGGGAGAAGAGTTCCTATCATTCAAAACCGTGCAAGAATGGATTATTTTTCCTTGCGACAGTATATCAAAAAGCTCAAAAATGTGAAGGGGCAAGAAAGTAAAGGCAAATCTAGTAAGTATTGACAATCAACAAGCACTGGACAATGGGAAAAAATATTTAAAAACAAAATTGATGTTGGTATATAGGTGTCTCATACCTATAGAACTGTAGAAGATTTTTTTCCTTTTACCTACTTGCTTCAGGCCGGCCCCAAACTTGAAACAATATCCAAGACCCATCACCCCTTGCAGGGTGGGCCTCAAATGAACACGTCTTATACATAAAGTGATGGTTCATGTTGATGATCAAATGCCTAAGCATGATTATATTGGATGGCAGCCAACCCGCCAAACAGAAAAGAAATTATATGTGAAAGTGTATCTAGTACCAAGGACAAGAACAACGTACAGGTCTCTTAATCCCATGATGAAACTCCGGTAACACAAAGAAAGAAAACAACAAAACAGATGAGCTGTAACTCTCAAGTTGATAAAGCAAGATACCTGAACATTGACATAATGCAAGCCAGCAATCAGTAAAGGAATGACTGGCCCTAAAACACCACTAGGGAACTCAGTCAAGTTCTGGAACCAAAGAATGCCCCCCTACAATGAAATGAAATGGAAATCAGTATCATCGAGTGGAAAAAAACCTAAAAGAATTCCGAAACTTTACATAGTATATAAATGCAAGAATTAGACTACTAACCAGAAATAATTTTGTAACAAAAAGTAAACTATATAGTTATGCTATTAAGTCCTTCATAAAAAATCCAACATGCTCTATAATCTACTATTCACAGAAGAAAAAATGAAGGCAGTGGTTAGGAGGTGGACAAGAAGCAAAATGGTTCTTCTAGAGGAATATGGAGAAAATCAAAGGGATAACTGAGTGGAGTTTTGTGGGAGTTCATGGTCTCGGAGGAGAAGAGTCCAATTTAGAGAGTTTTGACAAAATTAGGTTAGTCTCAAGATATGAGGTAACAAGGGTTATAGGAGGGATTTCAATAAAATAAGGTTGTCTGAGGAGAGAGTGGAATGTGAGACATATTCTAGGGAAATCTTAAATTTTATAAACTATCACCAATTAGCTGACTTCCCTCAGACAGGTAATAAGTTTACAAGGTCCAAAGCTGAGGAGTCGAGACCAATCAACACTTGAGATTTCTTATCTCGACAGGGTTAATCCAAGTTCCACTTTTTCAACTAGCATAAAACCACCAACAACAACAAGCACTATGCCTCAGTCCCAAACAAAATTGGGGTCGACGATATGAATCCTCACTTCTTTTTTCAAGCTCAACTCATATCATCATCATGCCAAAATAAAATAAGAGTGGTAATGAAATAAGTTAAATATATATATATAAATAATAGTAATAATAATTAAAAGATAGTCATATTTAAAGCTTATTCCTAAATAATAAGTATCACCTATATGGATCTTTTTCCTCCATTGTGCCCTATCTTAGCTAAGTTTGCATTGATTCCAAGGCTTTCGAGATAACTTCTATCCATGTGATTTTAGGCCTACCTCGTTCCTTTTTAACACCTTCATTCACCACAGTTTCACAACAACGGACTGGTGTATCTCTAGGACGACGTAAAACATGACCAAACCATCTCAAGCGACCTTTCATTTAATCACAATACTAGATTACATTACACGCAATTTTAATGGAATACTAAAGTGTCTGACGCCTTTCAAATTTGAAATATGCGGTTGAAAGCACACAACTTGGGGATAATGAGGACTTGGTGTAGGAATTATTAGGTCTAAAGCAGTGTTATAAATAGCGCTCGCCTCAGCGCTAATAGCGTGAGGCGAGGCGAGGCAGTGTCGCTACTTTCCCTCTGATGTGTTGCATTACAAAATAGCGCTCGCCTCTGCCTATGTAGCGAGAAGCGACTGTAGCGTCGCTTTTTTAAAAAAAAAAAAAAAAAAAAGGCAAAGACTTAACAAAAGGGTCGCGATTAGGGCTTGACAACAGAGCTTCTTCAACTTCGAACAAAACAACAGAGCTTCATCTGAAAAAAGGTCGCGAACTCGCGATTAGGGCTCGCAATTACTGTGCCATCGTCTTCTTCATCTGAAAGCTTGAGGTTTCTGCCAAGTGCCATCATCTTCTTCATCAAGTTTCTGCCATTGAAAGACCAGGTATGCTTCTCTGAGTTTCCTTTCTTTCTTCTTTTTCTTTCTTCCTTCTCCTTGTTCTTCTCTTCTTCTTTCTATTTTTTTCCTCTGTTTTTTGTCGAGAAGAACAGAAACAGAGGTCTGTTTTTGTGCTCTATTTTTCGAGCAAAATACAGAGGCTCTTCCCTTCCTCTTTCTTCTTCTTTTAATTTTTTTTTGGCTCTGTTTTGGCAAAATAACAGAGGCTCTGTTTCGAGCAAAAATAACAGAGGCAGAGGCAGAGCAGACTGCAGAGGCAGTAGCTCATTCTGTTTTGTTTGCCCTGTTTTTTTTTCAATTATTGACTTATAGTCTTATAGAGTAGAATTAATTGCATATTGACTTGATAATTTTTTTTCTATAAAACAGCGTTGAAATGGCGTCATCCGATAGCAATAAACGAAATGATATAGCTTGGAATTATGCTATACAAGGCTCATCAAGATCCGCAATTAAATGTGTGTGTTGTGAAAAAACATATCATGGTAGAATAACTCGTCACAAGCAACATTTGATAGGTGGATTTAAAAATGTAGTACAATGTCCTCTTTGTCCGCCCAAGGTTAGGGAGGAAGTAAAAGCGTTTGTTGATAAGAAAAATGTGACAAGAACTCAAATGAATTATGAAGCATCGGTGAATCTAATTGATGAAAATGATGAAATAGATGAAGATGGTGAAATGGGACCTCCGCCCCCCAAAACTCATAAGATATCTTCAAATAGTTCTAGTGGGCCATCCACGACGGCACGTACGGTGACAAAAGGTCCTCTCAACCTTTATTTCTCGGCAAAACAACAAGAAAAGGGAAAAGGTGATTCTGCTTCAGGTTAAGAAGCCAAGAAGATTTTGAGGGATCGCGCTGTAAGTGCCTTTGTAGCATGGATGTATGATGCAGGGCTTCCTTTCAACTGTGTTAACTACAAAACTTTTGATAAATTCATTGAGGTCGTAGGACAATATGGCCCAGGAATGAAGCCTCCTAGCTATCATGAAGTTAGAGTAACACATCTTAAAAAAAAGGTGAAAAAGATAGATCAAATTATTGAGGAGCATAAAGTGGAATGGAACAAGTTTGGATGCTCCATTATGATGGATAAATGGACAGCACGGAATGGAAAAATGATCATAAATGTGTTGGTAAACTCTCCAATAGGAAGTGTTTTTCTTGAATCTTACGATGCTAGCAACTCCTCTACGGATGGAAGCAAAATGTACAGCCTGTTTAGAAAGACTATTGATAAAATTGGAAAGGAAAATGTTGTACAAATTGTTACCGATAATGCTAGTGAGAATGTTAGTGCGGGTAAGATGATGGAAGTTATGTATCCACACATTTATTAGACTCCATGTGTTGCCCATTGTATCAACTTAATGTTTGGTGACATATTCAAGGAAAACCCATATGCTTCAGGTAACTTTAATATAGTTATCTTTAAAGCTTTAACTTTATTTATACTTATTATGTCTTATCCTAAAGTATTAAGTATTAACTACAAAATTGTTAATGTTACTTTTACAGTTTTCACTAAAGCCGTCAAGGTATATTCTTACATCATTCAAAGGCCGTTGTTGTTGAATTTGATGAGGAGTTTCACAAATGAAAGAAATTTGGTGAGACCGGCCAAGACTAGATTTGCAACGGCTTTCTTAACTTTGCATAGTTTTTACTTGCAAAAGAAAAACTTAAGAAAGCTAGTTCTTTCAAATGAATAGAAAGATAATAGATATGCAAAGGAAGTTGCGGGGAAAGAAACTGCCAAAGTTCTTATTTCTCCATTATTCTGGAATGACGTCGTTCGGGCTCTTAAAGTTGGTGGTCCTTTGATTAGGGTGCTTCGTATGGTAGATGGGGAAAGAAAACCACCAATGGGCTATCTTTATGAAGCTATGGATAGAGCCAAAGAGACTATTGCAGCGTCATTTGAGGGAGATGTTAGGAAATATGAGAAAGTTTTTGAGATTATTGATAGCAGGTGGTCGAATCAACTCCATCGACCTTTGCATGCAGCAGGCCATCTTCTGAACCCGGAATTATTTTACAAGAACACTAGAGATGAAACTTTGGATTCAGAGGTGTGGATTGGATACCATGAATGTCTTGAGAAGTTGATCCCCAATTCAGCGACGGTAGATCAAATAGGGGAAAAGTTTGGTAGGTACTCAAAAGCAGAGGGCCTATTTGGTTTACAGGCAGCCATTAGAGCCAGAGACATAAGGTCGCCAGGTAACTAACTTTAATATAGATATCCTTATAACTTTAATTTAATTTATTTGATTTATACTTATTACCTTTTAAAATATTTTTCTATAGTTGAATGGTGGATGCAATTTGGACATCAAACTCCAAACTTGCAAAAGTTTGCCATCAAAGTACTAAGCCTAACTTGTAGTGCATCTGGATGCGAGAGAAATTGGAGCGTATTTGAGCATGTAAGAAGCAGATTTATTATATTAATATATTCTATATTGTGTTATTATTAGAATCTATTAATTAATCTAAACAATTTATGCGCAGATTCACTCCAAGAAAGGGAATAGGCTTGAGCTATCGCGTCTCAATGATCTAGTGTATATTAAATACAATAGAACATTGAGGCGACGTTATGAAGCTCGCGATACCATTGATCCCATTTTGTTGGATAACATTGACGAGGCAAATGAATGGTTAACTGGAGCCCC